AGCTTAATAGACGATCGCGCACGCTGCCACGAGTCGCACTAGACAGCGCCATACCGGAACCGTGAGAAAACGGATCACGATATTACCACTAGCATTGCTCCACCGTGTCGAAGAAATAATGAGGCCGCAAAGGGCGGCGGACTTTCCGGTAGTGGACACGTCAGGGAGGCCCGTGGACACGGCAGCGAATGCCGTAGACACGTCAGCGAGTGCCACGGCGGCAGCAGTGCGCGCGTGGGATGCGATGATCATAACGGGTGACAGCTGGGGAAGTGCAGTGGTAGGAAAGCGCAGGCGCGCGGAGAGCGTGGGGGCGTGGATGGCGGAACGGCGGGAATGCGGGGAGGAGACGCAAGAGGCGGAAGTCGAGGCGCAAGAGGGAGAAACGAGGTGTCCAAAGGGAGGGGGAACGAGCAGTGGTGGGAATGCTGACGGCGATAATGCCGAGCGCAAATGTACCGTTGGGGACGCATGTATGCCGCCTGTGCCATGTGGTGTTGGTGCTGTTGCATCACAGCACATGGCCGGTGATGTGCATCTCGCGAATCTCGCGAATCTGAATTTCGAGAGCTCCTCCTCCTCTTCCTGGTGTCCACCACATCAGATCGATCCCCTTCCGCTACAGGCCCTTCACTCCGCCGCACTCTCACGCTCGTCCGCTTCATTGAGCTCCTCGTTACAAGAGGATGCGGCGGAGGAGAGTGACCAGCAGCACCCATCACCATCGTCAACAGTAGCAGCAGCAGCAGCAACCATAGAATCACGCGGAAATCCCTCTCTCTTAACCTGCTCGTACCATCCCCAGTCAACCGACTCCCCACGCTCTTCTATCTCACCTTTCCTACACTCCTCCTGCGCACACTTCCACTCCCCTCAACATCCCTCTCCCTGCTGCTACACCCACCGCCCGCACCCCCACCATCACCATCACCATGAGCATCAGCTGCGCCACCACCACCATAACCATAACGATACCGAGAACCAGTACCCATATGGTAGCAGTGACCATGCCCACTACCGTCTGCGACCATGCCCACATGTTGTTGGTGAAGAGAGCGGCAGTGGCGACGGGGGGAAGGCCAAGAGACGAATGGATAACCCTATTCTGGATGGGAATAACGAAGAAAGCAGCGCGGCAAGCAGTGCAGCAAGTGGATGCGATTGCACGAGCAGGAGCAGCGGCAGCAGTAGCAGCAGCAGCAGTAACGAAGGCTCTGGAAGAAGCAGCAGCGGGAGAAGAAGCAGCAGGGAGTGCATGCCGCTGCTTCACTCATCTGCCTCGTACGTGCCCCTCTGCTCTGCTTTGCTCGTGCCTCTCTGTTGTCCTTTGTGCCCCACACTGCTGCTTCTTCTGTCTCGCCTTCCTGTTTTTCGTGTGCGATTGCGTTGAGTGATGATCATCTGCTGCTCACTACCTCTGTCACGCAAGAGGAATCGTGGTCTAGCATTTGAATGGCCCTTGTTTTTATTCACCTTTCTTTCCCTCCCATGTTCCTCCTCTTCCTATCTCTGTGCCATTTGCTGCTGCTGCTGCTGCTGCTGTGTTTGAACGTCCCAGCAGTCCGTCTTGGCAGAACTATCCCTCGCATGCGGCTCTCCTTGATGCTGCCGTTGACCTGCTGCTGCTGCACGTGCAGCGACAGCAGGAGGAACAGAGGCTGCAGCATCAGCAACAGGAAGAAGTGCAAGGGAAAGAACGGGAACGGGAACGGGAACAGGAGCAGAAACAGGAGCAGCAGCTGCCACTTTTGAGTCTGCAGCAGCTGCAATCACTACAGCAGGAGAAGAAGCAGGGAGAGGGGCGGCTGAGGTTCACACCGTATGGCACTGAAGGTAGTTGCGAACTGGATCGTGGTAGAGACAACCGATGCGGTAAACCATGTTGCCAGGGCTGCACAGGACAGGAAGGTTGCGAGGCAGGGTGTGAGGCAGCGGCAGGGTGGGCACACGAACGTGTGTGCGTGGAGGAAGTGGGTTCGTGTGCTGTCCGTTTGTCACAGACGGTGCAACAACAGGAGGAGCAGCAGGCGAAGCAGCAGGAGGAGCAGAAGGAGAAACAGCAGGAGGGGACGAAGCGTGTTAGCAGCAGTAGCAGCGTTCCCGACCAGCAGAGAGCTGTGTGTGCTGCTGTGGCAGCAGTAGCAGCAGCAACCGATCGCATTGTGGCTGCGAGCGAAGATGCAAATTTTGAGCTCGGCTGGACTGTTACCGCCAGCAGCAGCAGCAGCAGCGGCAGCAGCTGCTGCTATGAGGAAAGGCAATGCTGTGCGGCTTATGTTGTGGGGCCTGCTGCCGCTGTTTCTTGTGGCAATGCTTACGCAACTAGGGGCTGCGATGGTGCCCCGAGGGGTGCACAAGCTGCTGCTCCTCCTCCTCCCCCCCTTGCTGCTGCTGGGGAAGCTACTGTGTCTGCTCCTGCTGCCACTGGCAGTGGTTGTTGTGCCAGTGCTGCTGCTGTTACCACATGCACTCCGTCTCCAGTGCGACAGACCTCTCACTGCAAGCATACACATTCACAGCCCCACCACACCAGCACCTGCACCTGCACCAGCACTGGCACTGGCACCTGCAGTTTAAACACCTGCACCTGCACCTGCACGCATGCCACCACCACCCCACCATCCCAGCCCGGCGGATGCTGCCTTGACAAGCGGCACATCGGCCTTGGTGTGCTCTGCTTTCTTGGCGGCATGTCTGCTGCCCTTCTCCTTCGAGTCCTCCTCACCCGTTTCCTCACCCGTTTCCTCGCCCGTAACTTCGCAACTCTTCCTCCTGCTGCTGTGCCGGCTGTAGTTACCAGAGCAGTCAGCACCCCTCCCACCCACCTCACCAGCAGCATAGCACATACTTTCCTAAAAATATTCCTCGCCCCCCTCTCCTCCTACCGCTCCTCTCCCCTCTTCCCCCGCTCCCCCCCCCTCTTCCCCTGCTCCTCCGGCGTCTCCTCCCACACATCCTCCCCAGCAGCGACCCAAGCATCCCTGTCTCGCCTCCTCACTTGCTGCTCCTCCCCCCACCAAGCTGCCCTCCTGCACGCCCGCTTCTTGCTGCTTCTCCAGCGCCAGCGCTGGCAGGCCCAGGCTCACACACGAGCACGCAGTCCAGTGCGGTGGGGCAGGGTTTGGTCAGGTGTGGTGGGAGGAGGGATGGGTGCGGGCGGAGCGGGAGCAGGAGCAGGGATGGGGAGGGAGTGGGTGGACAAGTGGAGGGCCCGCAGCAGCAGGCTGGATAGAGAAAGAGGGATTGTGGGAGTGGGTGGCCGTGCTCTCTCTCACAATGCCTGCGGCCCTTCTGCTTCCGCTCCTGCTGCTTGTAACGGCAGTAGTGGTGCTGCTGCTGCTGGAGTTGGTGAAAGTGACGGTAGCAGCGCAAGTGGAGCTAACAGTTTCCTCACGTGGTTTGTCCGAGCCCACGAGAACTGGTCCTGGCTGCACATGCTGCTCACCCGCGCCCTGCTCTCCTCCCCATCCTCATCCCCATCAGCATCGTCTCACCAGCATCAAGTATCGCATGCACTGATACTGCGGCCTTCATTCACTGATGAACGGACAGGATTGTCTCGGGAACGGTCCAGTGGTGCAGCAGCACAGATGCATGCTTCTCGACGTCTTCCTGAAGATGCTGTTAAGGCACTAGGCCGACAGGTGTGTGTGTGTGTTTGTGTGTGTGTGTGTGTGTGTGTGTGTGTGTGCGCGCGCGCGCGTGCGCTGGACTGTTTCCATTCTCACTTGCTCATGTTCCCACCTTGCCTTAGCACTCTTTCTCATCCCTCCTTTCGACCCCCCCACCTCACCCCTAACCAGCCTGGCTCCTCCCTCCTGACTGTACCTGACTGTTGCCCCCACACCCCGTTACCCCCTCTTCCCCACTCCACAGTGTCTCCATCTCCCACTCTCCCTCACCCCCCTTCACTTCCTATTCCTTTATACTCAGTGATTCCATATGTTTCTCACTTCCTCTCCCGCGACCGTCTCCATGCTACCCTACCCCTCACCCTTTCACTCCTACTCCCACCACTCGCTGGCGAGTTCTCACACCCTCATTCTCGTTTCACCCATTACCCTGTTCCCATCACACCCTCCTTCCCCTCTCTCTGACCCTGCATCATCTACCCATGTGTACATCTGCCCACCAGGCTTTGCTATTCCTCCTGCCACTCACACACGATGCAGCCATGCTTCTCCTGCGCTTCTGTCTAGGCCGGTTCTGGTCCTGACTCGTTGGCTCCTCTCTTCTCGCTGTTGCCGCAGTGCTGCTTTGCCAAAGGTTTCCCATCCCATCGTTGCACTGCTTGCCGTGGCGCCGCGGCAGGTATTAAGCATTGCTGTTACTATTTCACGCATAGTCTAGTCTACACTGTGCGGTTGCTGGTGTGGTTTGGGGCCACTAGTTTACTTACACACTCGGTCTTGGCAGAATGGTCCAGTCTGAACCAGTTCAGTGCTGATGCGGTCCTGCGCAGTCCAGCGTGGTCTGATGCGGTCTGTCTCCAGCGGTGATTGGTACCGTATGTGTAGCTCTGGTGCGGTGTGGATATCTAGAGTTCAGGCAGGACACACCTGTGAATTCTGTAAGCGAACGCTTCTACGGAAGCAGGCTGGGATTTCTATATCCCTGTAATGTTTCCCTACCTGCAAGTGCATGTGCATACCTAGTCTGAACAACACCTAAAGTCAGCTCAGCTGCTTTCACTGCCATGCCATGTGGTCTGCTTTCACAAGTGCAGAAAAACTCCTACGGTGTACCGTATCCTAGCACCAGTGTGAGCTGCAGCATGCCATTACCGTACCGTACATGTCAAAAAGGGGCTACAGAAGATCCAGCCCAGCCCTGATGTCATCGTAAGAAAGAAAATAAAACCCTACCACACTGATACGGTACCAGTGAAGTTTTTGGAGTTGTAACTAGAATTAACGTACCACTGTGAGTAACACCCCCGGGGGACACCACCTATCCACGCACCGCTGAACTACCCGAGGGAGTCAGTGCGGGTGACTTGACTAGCGGCGAGCTGCCTGTTTGCCCCGAGACGAGAGGAACTCGTAGGCTGTGAGGACACGGCGGAAATTCACAGCTGCTCGCTCTGGAAGAGAGTAGAGAGAGTAGAGAGGATGGAAAGTGAGGAAGGGGTTGCGAGAGCGGAGAGAGTGGAAAGCAGAGAGGAGAGTTGAGCACAGGCAGGAACGTGTTGGAGACATGAGTTGGAGGAGAGGAGTGGAACCAGTTTGGCATCATGGAGAAAAGGACTGGCAAGAAAAGTTTGTACTGACTGAAAAGAGGTCGTGAGTGAGGGAGTAGGGTGAGGTGAGGTGAGGTGAGGTGAGGAAGTGAGGTGAGGTGAGGTGAGGTGAGGAGGTGAGGTGAGGTGAAGACAGGTGAAGAGAAGTGAGATGAGTTGAGGTGAGGCAGGGCAGGGTGAGATGAGGTGAGATGACGAGAGGCGAGGCAGGGTGAGGCGAGGCGCGGCGAGGCGAAGTGAGGCGAAGGGAGGTGAGGCATACCTTGATTGTCTTGGTTCCTGTCAGGATGATGCTCCATGGCCTTGGCACGGAATGCAGCCTGGTTGAATGGTGTGAGTGTGTGGCGTGCGTGGTTGCACGAGTGAGCGAGCGTGAATGAGCAAGTGAGTTCAACGAAGAGAGGGAGAGTTGGAGAGGGAGAAATTGCGCCCAAGGGGAGCAAGACAGAGAGTGGTTAGGCAACTGAGAGAAAACCGAGTCAAATGCGGCCGAAAGCCATTTGCTTGCGGTCACACGTAAACACAGAAAGATGGCGAGCGAGTGCAATGTGAAATGATGAGTGTGGTGGACGGCAACTTCTTCAAATGGGATGAAGGAAATGAGAGGCAGAAGGAATGAAGGCTCACTCACCTTGATCTCTGCTTTTGGAATGCTGTGACCCCGGGAGCTGCAGGGATCCACAATTACATGCAGCAGGGGCACGTACGGAATGCACATGCAATGACAGGCACAGGCACGGACACAGGCACATGCACATGCACATGCACATGCACAGGCACATGCACATGCACAGGCACAGGGCACATGCACATGCGCATGCGCATGCACAGGCACAGGCACAGGCACATGCACATGCACATGCACATGCACATGCACATGCACATGCACATGCACAGGCACAGGCACAGGCACATGCACATGCACATGCACAGGCACAGGCACAGGCACAGGCACATGCACATGCACATGCACATGCACATGCACATGCACATGCACATGCACATGCACATGCACATGGAGATGCAGATAGATTTAGATACACAAACACGTACACACACACACACACACACACACACACACACACACACACACACACACACACACACACACACACACACACACATACACAAAGGAGCGTGAGGCCATGTCGGCATGGGGGCATGCTGGTATGGAATCTAGGGGTTATGGAGCCACGGGTAGCATGTGGGCATGCAGGCACACACACCTATCAAGGCCCAGAGCATGCCAGTGATCCGTAACCATCTCCATCTCCTCCCACAACCACCATGAGGGCATGCAGGCATGGGAGAACAGGACCGTAGGAGCATGGGGTCTTGAGCGCACGAGGATACGAGGGCATGCAGGCACACGCACCTGTCAAGGCCCAGGGCATGCCAGTGATCAGTAACCATCTCCATCTCCTCCCACAACCTCCCTCCCCTTCCCCCTCCCCCTCCTCCCCCTCCTCCTCTCCGCCGCTCCTCCTCCCGAGCCTGCTCCTCACGTTCGTCCCAGCCGTGGCCAAAGGACCGGCCGTCCCAGTACCAGTTAAAGGTGTGCTGGGTGCGGCTGGCATGCTGGTAGCGGTGAAACGCCCTCCTGAACTTGTCCTGCTGCCGCCTCAACTCCTCGTCTGCTGTTCTCTGCCTTGCCTGGGGAGGGGGAGTGGGGTGGGGAGGGAGAGGAGATGGGGAGGAAAGGGGACAGGAGGAGAGGATGGAGGAGCGATTCTCATCTTTTGAGTCGACTCAAGAGGAGATGGCGGAGCGAAACTCATCTCCTAAATTCACTTCCTGAAATGACCTCTTAAAGTCACCTCCTAATATAACCTCCTAAACTCACTTACTGAGCTCACGTCCTAAACTCCTCCCCTCAATTCACCTCCAAACAATCACCAGCACAAAGTGCTACTGAGAATTCTCAAAAGCACATAGCGCGCACACGCCACAGCACTTCAAGCACAGCCCACTGTCGAAACATTTCACTTGGCTCACCTCCGCTCGCATCCGGTCCTCCTCCCGTTCAGCTTCACCCTTCGCCCCAGCCTCGCCATCTCGTCTTGCTCCCTCTCCCCCTCCATTCAACCCAGCTGAGCCATAACTCGTGTCAGCCCCACCCGTGCTCTCTCCTCTTACTCCCTCCTCGACACCATCTCTCTCGCGCTGCCCAACCCCTCCCCTTCCTGCTTCCGCTCTCCCATGCTGAGAGACCCGTGGATCAACACTGGCTCCTCCCCTCACTCTAGCGCTCCCTGCTACTGCCTCAGCTGGAGCACTGGCGCCACCTGGAGTGCTACTGCTGCTGCCGCCGCCGCTGCTGCTGCTGCTATGGCTGTGCATGGCATCGGAAGCATGAGAGCTTGGCACAGCCTCTTGCTGCTCATGCTGCTGCTGCTGCTGCTGCTGATATCCCCCTCCTGCGTGCCTCCCTGTTGCCTGCTGCTGTGCTGCATGGTGCTGCCACCTGCTCTGAGCTTGCCTGGCCTGTGCTTGCACGCTCTTCAGTTGGGAGGACGAGGGTGCGGCGAGGGGGAGGGGAGTGGTGAGCGACACGGAGGGGGACAAGGAGAGGGAGAAAGTGAGGGGGAGGGAGGGAGAAGTTAGGGATGAAAGACAGAGAGTGGGAGGAGAAAAGGAATGACTGCGCTCGGGGAAGGAGAGTAGTGAGAAAGAGAGTAGTGAGAAGTCGCCATATTTGCCGCTTGGAAAGACCTACTGCGGCTTGCTTGAGTCGCTCGTTGAGAGACGGGCGTGGTCCTCGCAGCAGCAGCACCGCAGCCGCAATCTGCACACGCGGTTAGGCAGAGGGGTGGGTGGGCGAGGGAGGAGGGATGATTAGGCGTGAATGGAGAGAGCGAGGAGGGCAGGCAGGGCAAGGTAGGGCGCGGCAGGAGGCAGGCGGAGTAGCATGGGAGCAGACAGGAGCGACAGGACGAGTGAAGAATCACACTTTTGGGGATTCCCAGAGGCAAGACGGCACAAAGCAAGCGGACGGACGAGACGAGACGAGGCTCGTACAACAGAATGAGGTGAGGAAGCATGCGCTGGTATGAAGATACTTAGAGATGCAAGGCGGTGAACATGTATGGGAGGTAGAGCTTCAGGTGGTTTTAGGGGTAATTCTCCCAGGAACGAGTCTAGGAGAAGGAGCCTACGAGGGGTGAGACTTAGAGGGGTGCGGCGATGAGGGTTTTCGTATCTGAGAGGTGGTGGCGAGTCAAAATAAACTCTGCACAGGCGATCAGCATTGCACAAAAGGCATCCTTACAGTCAGTCACGGTAACGAGGCGTGACTGCGAGGAGAGGCAGGTCGGCCGATCAGGCACGTCCTCTGTAAAAAGTAACGCGAGTTCGGATGGACCGTACCGCAGCGCCTGTGACTAAAGCGAGTTGCGTGCGCGGCTGCAGCATGCGACCTCCCCGTTCGTCGTCGCTGGTAGTCCGGGATCTCGAACCGACATCTCCTGGCGTGATTGCTGCACCAGCCGCGGCGCTAGAGGCGCTGCCGTCACCACCAGCACCACCGCCACCACTGCCACTGCGTCGGTCAACCATAGCTCCTTAAACGGGTTTCTTTGTCTTGGTGATCCGTCGCCGGTTGGGCTGACCACAGCGTCACGAAATAAGCTCGATCACTCATGGGCCGTCTCGGACTCGTGCGACGCAAGGCTACAGGAGGTGCGAGTGACGCATGGCGCGACACGGCTACACTACACTCCTAAGCTCGCAAACCCCCTGTGATCCACGCTTCGACCTTCGGTAATCCGCCTGGTCATGAATTCGAAACCGCTCCGGCACGGAAATATTCGCTCGTATCTCGAGATTATTCCGCGTATAACGCGGATGCGATGGCAAATTTGTAGCGCGGACGGTGGAAAGTTAGACGAACCGCTGCATGGAAATGATCGAGGTCGCGGGCCGATGTGAGAAATAGAGGGAGAGAGAGTGAGAGTGAGTGAGAGTGAGACGTGGGAGAGAGTTGAACACAGATGCCTAGCAGTATACAAATATGGAGCTGAGGACGGGTGCCGCCCAAAGGGGGGGGGATGGACAAAAAGGCCTTCGTGTTGTGAGTCGTGACCAACTCCCTCCAAGATACATCACATCATGTTACACAGCGAGTGCACGAAATTAATTCTGCGTGGGCTATTGTTCGACGAAAAGTCGACTGGTTAGTTCGCATGTTACTGTAACTGGATCGTCGGTTTGGATCACGGAAGATGATTGGCTGCGAATCACCCTGAGCAACTGGAGACTGAACACTTGCACTGATTCCAAGTAGCAGCATTTGTGGGACTGTCCGTATTAGCCGTCAGCCATATCCGTTTTGTCAAGTTCGCAGCCATTTCTCTCCATCTGAAGCACACCTTGTACCAGCACCGATAGTCGTTCTACCGAATTCGCTCGTCTGCTCGTCTGCTCGCTGCTCGTCTGCTCATATCACGCCATGCTGGCAACCCCGTCCGTTGTGTTCGTTCGCTCGCGCCCTTCCAGTCCCCTCTTGCCGGCCACTCTGAGTCCTCGCGACGTTTCACCTCGTACTCACTCCCCGCGGCTCCTGGTTTCTCCCACCCTCAAGCGCCACTCACTTTTCGACACGTGGAAATGCAAAGCCGGGATTCCTTCCTTCGCAAACACAACGAATGCACTTCTTTGCTCGACAAACGCCTTCGCAAATGGTTGCCCACTCAAAGTTCAACGAAACTGGCTTCTATCGCCTAACGCCAGATCTCTTAACGGATCCAACGGATCCATGCCTGTTTCTAACAAGGCCATGCGGGTCGCGAGACCTCACATCCCCAGATTCCTGAACGCGATCCGAGCACCAAACCAGGTGCCTCAGTTCTCACAATGTTCCGCACCTGCCGCCGCGAATGGCGCGCCTACAAGGCAGAATTCACCCTCCGCGTATCCTTCAGAACATACTTTCAAGACGGCCAGCAGCAGCAGAGCAGCTGCTGTCTTGAAAGTCTCTGCTAATTCCACCAACCCCACTAGTGCCGACCATCACTCCTTCAGAGCCACAACCACCAGTCCCCCAGGCAACCAACGAGAGATCAGCTGCAGGAGCGCACAAGGTGGCTGTGAGACCAGGCCATCCGCTGCTGCCTCTACCGAGACAGCAGATACTGAGAACTCGTCGCAGGTACCCTTGGCTTCTCCTCTCCACCGCTTCTCACTCTGCTCCTCGTCTTTTCTCATCACTCCTTCTCCATGGTGGTATGGTAGTGCTTCCCTTCTGTCTAGCCTTCGCTTGTGAACATTCTCAGAAGATTTCGCCTCAATGGGTGGGTGGTGGGTGGGTGAGTGCTTTGCTCTCACGCACAGCTCAAACGGTACTCGTGTGGTATGGCAATTGCTCTCGCATCACAGCCATCACTCGCATTGTACAATGGTTTCTATCTCTTGACTTGTCTTGTCTTGACTCCCTTGTGTTGCTGTGCACTTACCCCCTATTCTTCCGCACCATCTGCACCCTCCGTCATCCCCAATGACCCTCCTCCACCCCTCTGCACCACTCCGCTTGGGCATGCAGGCAGCAGCGCCCCTGCGAGTGGCAGTGGTGGGAGCAGGCTTTGCAGGGGTGGCGACAGCATGGCACGTGCTGCAGGTGGGGGGAGGGAGGTGAGGTGAGGGGAGGGATGGGAAGCGGAGAGGGGGAGGGGGGGGGGGGGGAGGGGGGGGAGAGGAGGGGAGGGGAGGGGAGGGAGGGACGTGATTTTGTGGTGGCATGGCATGTCGTGCTGTATACGCTGCATGTGCGGCGACTTTTCAGGCGCCTTAAAAGCATGGCATACTATAGTTGCATGCTGTGGTATATGTATAACATGAGACAGGCAGCTGTAGCATGTGGCTTGCGACATACCATGCTGCGTATGTATATAGCATATGTGGAGTGTCATGCCACGCCTCCTACGCATATAGCATACGTATGTGTGGGAGGGGCCCAGCTGTGTCAACCATTGGCCCGCTTGCATCTGAGAGGGTCTAACGTTTTTCAGGCTCAACAGCTCATGTGCGCCCACCCAACCCAAGTAACGCCCATGCGAGATTTCTATGAAATGGCCGCCCGCCCCATGTGCTCTGCTCTGTACGCACACTGCTAAATGCACACACCCTCTTGTTGTTATGCACACACCCTCTTGTTGTTATGCACACTCTGCTGCATCTGCATGCACACTCCTTTCGTATGTTGTATGCCCGCCCACCAGCACTCGAGCAGCAGCAGGCCCGTGCAGGTGACACTGGTGGACGCTACAGGTGGAGGGTACTTTAAGAGAATGCTAAGAGATGCTCACATGCTCACTCCATGTGCTCTGCATGCTCACTCCATGTGCTCTGCATGCTCATTCCATGTGCTCTCCTATTTTATGTGTGCCCGCCCGCCTGCCCACCAGCACACGAGCAGCAGCAGGCCCGTGCAGGTGACGCTGGTGGACGCCACAGGCATTGGCGCAGGTGCTTCAGGCGTGTCAGGGGGGCTGCTGCATCCCTTCTCTCCCAAAGGCACGTCGCGTTGCCGTGCCCCGTGCCATGCCGTGCCGTGCTGTGCCGTGCCGTGCCGTGCCGTGCCGTGCCGTGCCGTGCCGTGCCGTGCCGTGCCGTGCCGTGCCGTGCCGTGCCGTGCCGTGCCGTGCCGTGCCGTGCCGTGACGTGCCGTGCTGTGCCGTGACGTGCCGTGCTGTGCCGTGACGTGCCGTGCTGTGCCGAGCCATGCCGTGCTGTGATGTGCCGTGCTGTGATGTGCCGTGCTGTGATGTGCCGTGCTGTGATGTGCCGTGCCATGCCACACAACTGATGCTGTTCCAGGGTACCGTGAAGCACTGCCACCCATGCTATGCCGAGACGTTTCTATCTATTTAGGCGCCTCTAAATACTGGTATGCATGCTATACCATGCCAGTGCTTGTGTCACCTGCCAGGAACCATGGTACTGTGAAGGTACTTCTGCCCCATGCTCGTCCTTCCTAACGCCATACCTCACATCCCTGCGTTCCCCCCACATCCTTCTCCCACCCCCTTTCCCCACTCCCTTCCTTTCCACGCCCGTCCCCCACCCCTCCCCTTCTCCGCCCCTCCCAGGGCGGCTGCTGTGGAGGGGCGAGGAGTTTTTTTTTTAAGTGGACGCAAAAATCATATCACCCAAACCCCTCCCCCTCTCTCCACCCTTCTAGGGCGGCTGCACTGGAGGGGCGAGGAGGGGTGGCGGTGCACCCTGGAGCTACTAGCAGTGGTGGAGGGGGAGCTCAGGCTCTTTGCTCTACTGCCATTCCCCATACTCCGTCCATACACCCCTGTTCTCAGTGCACATTCCATCTTCTCACGCCCTCCCCCGCCCCAACCCCGCAGGGCGGCTGCTGTGGAGGGGCGAGGAGGGGTGGCGGTGCACCCTAGAGCTACTAGCAGTGGCGGAGGGGGAGCTCAGGCGGAGGGGCGAGGAGGAGGGGGAGGGGGAGGGAGAGGGGGAAGAGGGGGAGGGAAGCAGAGAGTGGGGTGGGTGGGAGGCAGACGAGGTGGAGGAGCAGGGCGAGGGAGGACCCAGGCGCTCCCTTATCTTGCGCAGGTAAGGCTGCTGGCATGGGAAATCTTATGTGGGATGGAAAGTCCCATGGGAATAGGCCCATTGGGGAAAATTTGGGGGAACCCCAAAAGGGGAATTCTGTGGGGGGTTGCGTCGGCCATGGGGGCTATTCTGTGTGAAGAGAGCTAGAGGGTGCCTGCATGTTCTTCTGCCTTCCCCTCTCCCTGCATCGCCCTGACTGCGTGTCATTTTTTTGTCCGTGCCGTGCCCTGACTGTCCGCCTTGTCCATCTGTCGGTCTCTCAGACAATCAATCAATCGATCCGTCTGTCTGTCTGTCTCTGTGTGTCTCTCTTATCTCTCGCATGGCGGTGGTGCATGGTGGCGGCATGGCGGTGGTGCATGGTGGCGGCATGGCGGTGGTGCATGGTGGCGGCATGGCGGTGGTGCATGGTGGCGGCATGGCGGTGGTGCATGGTGGCGGCATGGCGGTGGTGCATGGTGGCGGCATGGCGGTGGTGCATGGTGGCGGCATGGCGGTGGTGCATGGTGGCGGCATGGCGGTGGTGCATGGTGGCGGCATGGCGGTGGTGCATGGTGGCGGCATGGCAATGCACATGCGCCCCTGGTCCACAGCACAGGGGGGTGCTCAGGCTCCCGGAAAAGCCAAGCCACTCACAGGACTTTCTCCAGGTAGATTACTCACTGTGCTCTCTATGCCCATAACTCACTTCTGAGACTTCTCCAAAGTCGGAAAAGCCAAGCCACTCGCAAGACTTTCTCCAGGTAGATTACTCACTCTGCTCTCAATGCCCGTAATGCGCCCAACCCTCCGAGCTCTCCAAACTCTCAGCACCCATGCAACATGGCTGAGTGTCCGAGTGTCTGAGTGTCCGAGTGTCCGAGTGTCTGAGTCCTTGGCTGGTCCTGCCCCCATGTATTGCGCGCAGTCAGTCTTTACTGGGACCACCACAACGAGCCGTGCTCACTGGCTCACAGCACGTGGGCCTTTCTGCGTCACGACACGACACTCTACTAATCGTTACACGATCCGATCCCATGTGCGTGGTATCAAATGACATGCTGTGGCATGGCATGGCATGGTATGGAATTGCATGGCATTGCTTGCACGGCATGGCATGTGTGAGTACAGTATGCAGGTCCCATGGTGGAATGGGAGGGACAGCACCCCATCGGCATGACAGCAGAGGGGAGCAGCACAGCAGCTGAAGCCACACCAGCCAGTGCCACAGCAGCAGGAGCAACAGGGGGAGTAGCGAGCAGTAGCAGTGCGCATGACACAGTGTCCCCATCTCCTCACCCTACACCTCATACCGCTCCACCACTACCCTCCTCCTCCTCCTCCTCCTTTTCCTCCTCCTCCTCCTCCTCCTCCTCCTCCTCCTCCTCCTCCTCCTCCTCCTCCTCCTCCTCCTCCTCCTCCTCCTCCTCCTCCTCCTCCACCTCCTCCTCCACCTCCTCCTCCCCGTCCTCCCTCCCTTCCTCCCCCTCTCCCTCTCCCATCTCACCACTCTGCCTCTCTGCTTCCTCCGCACTCGCCCTCTTTCCTCCTCACATGCAGCCCGCTCTACTTACCTCCTCCCCTCACCCCAGCGCCCACCCCTCCTGTGCGATGCTCGTGCCAGAAGCCCTCACCATCCACCCGCGAGTCTATCTCAAGGTGAACCAGCCAGCCATCGCCCTCTAGCCTCGCTCAGAAGCACCTCTCGTTCTCTGGCGTTTCTTCTTTTCGTTTGCTCTTTGTCAAGCCCCTTGTTAGCCCCTTGTTAGCCCCTTGTTAGCCTCCCCCCCCTCCCCCCCCCTCCGGACAACTCAAGCCCTCATCGTCTATCCGCCCTGAGTCCACCCTGATTCTGTTTCAAGGTGACCTATTTTTCCTAGGTGTCTCAAGGAGAGTCTCTCTTTTCACAGGCGATTTTCGTACAGAGGCTCCTTTTGTATTGATGTGCCTCTTGGTTGCGACGTGCAATGCTCGTACCAGAAGCAGTCATCATCATCATCATCCACTCCAGCCACACATTTGCAATTCTCATGTTTTTTTATAATTATAAAAAAGTATGAGAAGCCGTCATCATCCACCCACACATTTGGTGCAACATGAGTCATCCCCGTTACTCATACCCCCTCTCCCCTTTGCACACTCAAGCACACACCCACTTATCCCCTTCAACCCCACTCCCACTCCCACACTTATCCCCACTCCCATCCCCAACCCCATCTCCCACCCCCACCCTCCCAACTGTGCTATCAGTCCCTGTGGGGTGCATGTGTGCGCTTCGCCAGTGAGGCAGCAGCAGGCGGCAGTCTGGGCACCCACGCTCGCCTAGTGCTCGCCTCCCTGCCCTCCTTGGCCGCCCTCGCATCTCTGCCTGCCACCACCACCGTTGGCAGCAGCAGCACTGTTGGCAGCAGCACCAGCAGTGGTAGTGACAGCAGCAGCAGCAGTGGTAGTGACAGCGGCAGCAGCAGTGGTGGCAGTTGCAGCAGCAGCAGCAGCAGCAGCAGCAGCAGCAGCAGCAGTTTCCCCTTTGACGTTGTGTTTGTGTGTATGGGTGCCCACGCACTCGCTCTTCCAGAAGTCGCATCTCATCTCTCCTCCTTCTCACTCTCTCGAGGCCACATCCTTCACCTCTCCCCTCCTCCTTCCTCCCACTCCTCTCCTTCCTCCACACTCTCTCCACCCGCACCTGCCTCCGCGCCTCCCCTCTTCCCAGCATCTGCTCCCAGTCTCCTCGGCTCCACATGGGTGTCTGCCCGCGCTCCTCACCGCATTGCTGTTGGTGCCACCAACCACAACCTCCCGCTCCCCCCTGTGCCTTTTACATCCGATCCTTCTTTTCCCCACAGCACCAGCACCAGCACCAGCACCACCACCACCACCAACACTCCATCACCTTCCCCCTTCGCACCCTTCCCACCTCCCCCTCCCGATGAAATCGCTGCAGCCTCGGCCACCCTTGTCACCTCCCTCACCTCCCTTCTCCCAGCTCTTTCCTCCTGGGAAGTCGTGCGCAGCGTGACAGGCATAAGGGCTATGCCCCCTCGCTCATCCCTAGGCCGTGTGCCAGTGGCGGGACGAGTGGAAGGGGTGCTGCTAGGGGTAGTGGGTGGAGGGAGCAAGGGGAGGAATGGGGGTGGGGAGGAGGTGGGGAGGGGTCGTGCGTTGGGAGGGAGTGAATGTGCAGGAGAAGAGGGCGTGGAGGACGGTGGTGTTGCTGGTGTGGAGGGAGGCGGTGTTGCTCTTGCTGCTCCTGCTGCCCAACCGGGCCCATCGGTGTGGATAGTGGGAGGCCTTGGATCACGCGGTCTGATATACCATGGGTGGGTGGCGAAACACGCTGCTGCAGCAGCAGTGGGTGGAGATGAGGGGTTGCTACCCCCTGAACTGCTGTGGTGGAAACAGCAGGGCGGAAAGAGCAAGGTGGAGAGAGGACGGGGAAAAGAGCCGAGGAGGAACGATGGTAGAAAGGAAGGGAGGGGAGGGAAAAGTGATAGTGGGTGAAGGGAGGTGAGGAGCTGCTGCCACCTGTGCTGCTGTGGTGGATGCAGCAGGGAGGAAAACGGGTGGAGGGAGGACGGGGAAGAGAGGGGAGATGGAGCGATGGTAGAAAGGGCGGAGGGGGAGAAACATTTGAGAGTGGGTGAGGGGAGGGGAGGGGAGGGGATGGGGAGGGGAAGGAGGGGGGATCAAGAGGGAATGAGAGATGATCGATGATTAAATGGAGCCAGTGGTGCACGTGATGGATGGCATGGTGTGGCATGGCATGGCATGTGGCACAGCAGGTGGCACGTGAGAGGGCACCATGGCAGGGCACCATGCAGGCAGTTTAGGTTCTGATAAAACACGCACCACACGCAACGACACCATGCATGCATACATGTGTCCACGTGGCAGCCAGGGCCGAAGTCCCATAAGGAAATCACTTCGATCAATTAAGCCATCTCTTCCTTTCAGCACACAGCTGTTTTATCACGGAGGGTGGTGGTTGGTCATCGTTTAGCCTGTGCACTTGCATGCATGTTTCCATCCAGTGAAGGGAATCCTTGTGATCTTGCACTCCATGACAGCTGGCACCACACTCACATTGCACTGGATGGAAAGAGTCTACACTAAGGTAATATAATCCGGTACAACTGGTGGTACAAGGGAAGCTTCCGCTTCCTCTTTTCCTCCCTAACACAAGTCTACCTCTTTCCCTTCCATTCTGGTCGGAAAAACACACCGACGGACATACATACATATACCTCTGATGTGCAACTCAAGTGCCTACTAAGGTACCGTTCTAAGGATATTCCTGTTTCTCCCTCCGTAACATCTTATCCTGCTGATGCCGCTCGCTGGCAGGTGCTCCCCAAGTCCCGCTCCCCGCTCTCCCTCCCCACTTCCTTTCTTGGAGGTACATCCAAGGGATTAGTTTATGTAAGCTACAGCTATTGTCGATTCTAACGCTTTGGTTGAGACAGTGTTCTCAATTAGCTTCACCGCCACGGGTTCTCTTCCAGCTCCTCCATAACCCGAATGCTATCCCGCACTGTGAATCGCTGCACGTAGCCTGACATGCACAGTATGCAGAACCAGGGCAGGGGGAACAGGACACATGGTGAGCTGACCCGTTTGACAGGCACGGGAACTGGCAACTGGGAAAGCGAGAGTGGTAGGTAAGGAAAGTGCGAGAGAGAACGGGAGAGAATAGCGAGCGATTGTGAATCCGAAAATTTTATTCAATGTCGTACCGATGCCAGAGCAGGTGATGCACGTGCCCGTGTAGTCCTTGCCTCGCTTGCGCCGGAACGACACGTACCCAGTGCCGCTGCACCGCGTGCACTTGCCCGTCCACTGATACACCACCTCCTTGCAGTCCTGCACAGTCAAGCATCGCCGGTTTATGTCAATTCACGTCGAGTCACGCCAATTCCCGCCAATTTCCCGCCAATTCGCGCTAAATCACGCCGAATCCCGCCAGTTCACGCCGAATCGGGAAAATTCACGCCAGGCCATCGCCGATTCGCGCGTTCTACGTAAATTGCTGCGCGTGTCAAAATTCCGGCTCGAGGCGCGATTGATCCCAGAGCACGCGGGCAGTCGTACCTGCATCTCAGGGTCGCAGCGAACCATCTCTTCCACCGCCTCCAACGGTAACGGCTGCGAGTTCGGCGCGGTCATGGGCAGCGGCAGCGCGCGGCTGATGTGCAGATCGCTGCGCCAGCCGGATCGCGCCTTGTTCTTCGCGACCGCCGGCGATCGCGCGCCCACTCCTGTCAAAACGGCGGCAGACGCCGCATTAGCGGCGGTAGCTGTAGCGGCCCCGGCGGCGGCGGCTTCGGTGGGGGTAGTCTTGGTGACTGTTTTCGGAGGAGCTTCTGCAGTGGGTTGGGGAAACTTAAGAGGCACGGCAATTGCAGCGGCACTTGCAGCCTGAAAAATTTTTTGCAGCATGGGTACAGGCGAAGGCGCGCGGAAGAATCCTCCGGAGTCCGGCATCGGCTGAGATGTCACGGCCGCCCTGCTAGCCACCGAGCCGCGGCCTGGAAGCGGAATTGCAGCGGAATTGCCGCCATGAGTGGGCGGAACGAGGCTGGAATTGGTGGGTTGTTCGGCGGCTTGCGCGCGAGTGAGTTTGAGGGGAGAGGTTGGCTGGAAACTGGTGTGCAACTGGTGATGGCGGTGCGCCTGATGCGACGGCCAGGTTCCGAGAAAGTGCGCGCGGAGAGAGGAAGGTTGCGCGGAGAACATGGCGGACGCGCATGCGCGCTGGTCAGTGAGACATGGGCACGGCGGAGCGCGCACTGCCATGTGCTGATTGGGCGCACTCACGTTGCAAAGGGGTTCAATTGCACCAGAAGACGCGGGAACGCGCCAAGAGGACGGCTCGAAGAGAAAGGTTGCGAAGGTTGTACTCAAAACAGACTTGAAATGGATAGGAGGAGAGGCCTGGATGAAGTTAGTGACGAAGCGCCGAGATGGTGCCTGAATAAAATTGTTGTGAGCCGATGTAACATCAACAGTGACGCTAGGACTGAAGGGCCAGCTGCCAATCTATCTCGGCTCCACAAGGTTGAAGGAAATGCGGGGATAGAGAGAGGTACAGCGATAATGAACTGCGTTCTCCTGCTGCTGGTTGACCTGTTCCCGCGCGATCGGCTGCAGTCAGTCGAGTTGCTGGAGTGATCAACTACTCGAGGGGGTGTTTGCCAGTGTTGTGGTGTCGGAGGGAAAAGGGGCTCGTATAGGTGCGGTCACTGGTGTGGGTCCGTGGTTTGGCGGGAATTGCTGGGCTTTTTGCAGGGACTGGCTGGTTGGTGGTGGCAGGGTGGGCGCAATGCTGGCAAATGTATGAAGTTATGGCCAAAAGCTAGTGTAAGAAGGATTGAGGAATGGAGAGGTTTGTAGAGACTTTTAAAAAGATTGAGTAGAGTTATGGGGTTTCTGGATATGCGAATCTCTTCGTCAACGTCAGACGGGAACAGTTTTCGCGAATGTCGCCGACGAGAGCAGGCATGACCGCGGAAGGCGCTGCGTCTCGACCAAGAGCTCCAACCAGCAAGGCGAGGCGAGAGTGCCCTGTAAGCAATCGCGAAAAGCCCAACTAGGGATGGGCTAATCAAAGCTTGCCACCTCATAGCGCGCCAGGACTGCGGCCTCAACCAGCAGGAGCCGTGACATGCGAGGCGGCAGCTGATCATCCAGTGCGATTCGGCCTAGCAGGATCAGGGGGGTGGGCAGCCACAGAAGTGCGGATCTTGCGTGGCGAGGCGCCGGAGATGATCTCGATGCGCGCCGTATATCCTCGTGGTGCCAACGAAGATTTTCCTGAAGATGCTGGAATGGCGTTGGAAAAAGTTCTCCTGACCGAGAGGCCACGAAACTTCAAGGCGAAGCTGACTCACTAAAGCGCACACGGACAAGTTTATGGGACACGTGTACACATCTCAACTACCATCGACAGAGGTACCCAAAGGAATGAACGGCATTCCCAAGCCCATCTCCAACATAAGCGGCGCCGAAATTTCAGTGCACCAAATCAACCAAACGTGTAACTGAGCCACACAAGAGGCTGGCCTTCATTTGATCCCAACTAACAGTTGTACATACATGTCAGGCGAGTTGTGCAGTGGTATCACTTGCGAACAAAACTTCAGCATTCGCGAGTGTATTGTTACTCACATATCTCAATAGACGCCGAATGACGAATAGAGCTGGGGCCAACGACTGAGATGACCGCCACGATAAATTTGCAACACTGGCATGTCACCCTATTGTTACAAACGGAACGTAGCTACAACATATTATACAAACTGCTATCGCCAATCAGTTCTCTTCCTCATCCACCTGCCGAAGGACCCCTCTCAAGGAATCCGACAAATCTATATCTTCCTTCTTACCTAACCTGTCACCAATATCCTCCTCCCCTTGCTGCGGTGCCCCTCCCTGCCCTTCCTCCACCTCTCGCATAATCCTACTCAACCCCCACTCAACCCCAGCCCCCTGCTTAAAGCCCAAGCCACCCAAATCCTCACATCCCACATCTATTCCACTTGCTTCCACTTCTTCAGCAGCCGAGGGGCTTCCCCCCTCCTCGTCTCCCACCTCCCCCTCCCCCACCTCCTCCTTCCCCCACTCCCCCTCACTCCCCTCATCAAATATCCTGCCTTCAAAGTTCTGTGGAGCATCGCCGCTCTGTTTCAAGCCTACCCCTGTTCCTGGATCATCATTGCATGCTGGTTGCCCCTGCACACGTGTGCTACTGGAGGTATTACTGGAGGTATTACTGGATTGCCTGTCTTGATCTCTGCCTGCAGCTGCAGTTGAATGGTTAACTGATGGCCCTTCCTCGTCCGAAGCACTATATCCTAAACCTCCTTCTCGCAACGCATCCTCTCCCAACCCTCCGTCTCCCAACCCTCTCTCTTTCAACCCTCCCTCTCCCAACCCTCGCTCTCCCAACCCTCCCTCTCCCAACCCTCCCTCTCCCAACCATCCTTCTCCCAACCCTTGCTCTTCCAACCCTCCCGATTCTCGCTCTTCTGACCCTACCTCATTCAACCCTCCCTTCTCTACCCTCCACACGCCAACACCCTTCACTCCACCAATCACGTCCGTGTGAACCTTCCACTCCCACAACTCCCTCCCACGCGCCTGCACCCCCTCTCCCTTCCCTCCTCCTCTCCCCTCTTCTTTCTCTCCCCGTAGCACCGTTTCCTCACGACGTTCCCTGGAATCGTCTCTCCGGCCTCTGCTCCTCCCTCGCTCGCCCAACCCTCGCCTCCAAGCCTGCTGTTTCCACTGCGCGACCAAGTGGTTTGCGTTCACCGCGCCTTGGAATAGCTCCTGCTGCTCCTGCCGCTGCTCCTGCTGCTGCTCAAATTGTTTCACCGGTTGCTGCTGCTGCTGCTGTTGCTGTTGCTGCTGCTGTTGCTGCTGCTGCTGTTGCAGCTGCTGCTCTTGCCAACGCAACGACTGTTGCGTGTTCAGAAGCTCTGTTCCCCCATTCCCCTCTGAACCGCCATCTCCCCCCACAGAAAGCAGCCACTCGTCCACGTCATCGAACGAAGCAGCCACGTTGGACGAGACAAGTGAGGGAGGAGGCGGCAGAAAGGAAGGGCTAGGAGCAGGGGAGGCGCCAGCAGCAGCTGGAGGAGCAGGGGGGTGTAGCCACAACGGGGAGGACTGGGAAGTGTGGGAATCCGGGAAGGCTGCCGAGGATGAGTAGGAGTAGAAGGAGACAGGCGGGGAGGACGGCGGATTGGAGGGATACTGCGCGCCAGAGAACGACGAGGAAGAGAAAGAGGATGAGGAGGAAGAGGAGGAGGCAGAAGACGAAGAGGAGGAAAGACGGGATGTGGTGGTCGCTCTCCATCTGGCTTGTGGAGTTAGTCGCTCCAGTCGAGCAGCAAAGGTGCTGTCAAGGGTGAAGGCTGCGCGGGCTTTAGCGAGCTGAGCGGCATTGTCAGGGTGGCCTTGGTCTAGCACGTGGGGGCGCAGGCGCAGCATGACTATGCGGAAGAGATGAAAGTGCTCCACTAGCCATGGCATGTGCGTGCCATGCACGTCCGTCATCTGCTCGTGTGCACATGCCATGCCATGCGGATCCATGCCGTGCCATGCCGCACCATGTCGTAACATGCGATGGGATAAGAATCAAGGCAATTGGTAGGTGTTGTTGAGTATCCAGGAGGAAGGCTGCAGACATCACACCAGCCTGCACTGCACTGTGAACTCCACAGGAATGAGGAGAGTAGCTGCTTGCAACACGCCATGCACATTCCTGCTGCACCTCTTCCCGCTTCGACAGGAGAACGGCCAGCCACATCTCATCAGATGACCGACCAACGATAAGCAACAACTCATGATACGATGAGCGAGCACCACGAGACGTTAAAGCACTCACGGTGGGTCGGCGGCTGTGCCGGCGAAAGAACAGGTCGCTCCATGGTTGGATGGCCGATCGCAGGGCCACATAGCGAGGCAGGAGCGCTGGGAAGCTGGTGACACAGTTAGAGGAAGGCGAGGGATGTGCAGTAGGGAGGGGAAGGTGGAGTTGTGGAAATAGAGCTGGTGCAAGGGAAGGGGCTGGCCTTGGTTGTAGGTCAAAGTGCGCACGGGGATAGAAACATGGAAGCATGGAAGCATTGAAACATTCGTGAGTTTAGATTAGATACCGATTAGGTGGCAGCTTGCGCACGCTCTCGATCAACGACTCATCGGCACCCTCGTCCCTGCCGCCACTCCCACCAACGCCACCGCTGCTGCAGCTACTGGCGACGCTGCCTGCCGAGCCGAAAAGCCCCTTCTCATCACCCTCCACCCACTGCATGCAGTCCGCTACAGCAGCACGCCACTCCCTCTCTCCCACTGCCTCTCTTTTCACCTTCTCCCCTCCCGCTGCGCCATCTGCCCCACCAGTGTGGGTGTCCCCAGCTGAGGGAGAATGAAGCACGTGCGCAGAGAGTGCCGAGAGCCCGTGCGAGCGCACAACGCGCGCCGCGTGGCGTGCTGCGTGAACCTCTCCGATAGGAACGGGACGGGCAGCCTCTCGCCTTGGTAGACCAGCGTGCGCGGAGGGTTGAGCGGTATACCGTTTGAGAGGTTCCCGTTCCCGTTCCATTTTGCGCCCTCTCGCCTTGGCAGACCCGCGCTTGCTGCCCACCAGACCACTACTGCTGCTGCCACCTCCGGTTTCCACCGCATTGCTGGGTGTCGGTTCTGCGCTAGTAGTGCCGGCGCATTCGGCGCTGCTGTTACCCGCCGTGGCACCATCGACAGACGTGCTATCACCGCCAAAGCCATGGCCATCGCTGCTGCTGCTGCTGCTGCTGCTGCTGTTCGCGTTGCTCGTGCTTCTGCTCTCTTTTCGTGACATTCCGGGGCTCTCACCGTCTCTCCAGCTGCTCCTCCCAATTCCTTCACTCGCATCATTCCCTCCGCCGGCGTTCGCGTCGCCATAGCTCCCCTGGCTGCAGCGGCAACTGACACAAGAGCTTGCACGAGCATCCCCCCTTAAGACGGCGCTTCGCGCGAATCCGGATCCGTCGGATGCGGCGTGCCCAGCACCGAATTCGCAGCGGGAGGAGTGAGTTACGCATCCTCTTGGATGCAGCCTGGCAAGCCGCGTTAAAGCGTCTCGAGCGGGGTCGGTGCCGGCTCCCGACTTGGCCTGTATTGAATAGGTTTGAGGAAGCGAGAGGTGCCTTGTCGAGCAAGTAACGTCCGGTGAAACCGGAAATGTCAGAAAAACGGCACGCGCCGAGAGTTTGCCTCCCACAGCGACCCTGTCAGCCATTTAGGCGACGGAGCTTCCTATTTTCAATGGCAGTATAGCGATGGGGTCTCGACTTGGAAAGGAACAGAGTGGCAGGTTATGAGTGTGGAATGAGGTGGTCTTAAAGCCCCTTTTTAAATACAAGATAATATGCTGTTACAAAACGATTTTTGCTATTTGGCATCAACTGACTGAAACACACATTCGTATGTTTCTTCCAAAAGAATGCCATCTATGTCAGTATGTGGGGATAATAAAAGGTTAGAGCTGTCTATACTGGCTGAATTGTATTATTGATGTGCACTTCTATTGTCCAACGTGAGAAGAAGCGAGAATGAATGAACTATGAATGAATTGGGTACAAGTACTTGTTGGGAATAATAAGTCTTAAGCGCCTCTGTCGTGTCGAAACACAGGACACTAGCGAAGCAGTCCGAATCGAAGCATCGCGAGTCAACCCTCGGAGGTTAGGGTAACCGCCTGGAGGTTACGAGAAGGTCAAAGGTCAGCGACCTTTGACTTGACAAATACAGCGCGACAGCAAGGACACACAACTGACTCGACATTGAGCAGTTGCCCGAGTCGCACTGTATCGAATTGCAACAGTAAAACGGTTTTAACTTATCTATTCGTATTCCTTGTACTCTTATATAAACCTTTGTATTTGCTTGTTTAATCAACTTACTTTGCCCTCACATACTAGCGCAAGGTGGTTCAAGTATTTTCATTCAAACGCTTCCGCTACTACAATTCTACTCAGACTTAAAACTCTACAAAGATCCTAAGGCACTTCAGCCCAACAGTACTAACCCTAATTGGGTTGTACCCCTTATGGGCTACTCCACTATAGCCTACACAATATGCATGAGCTATAATGTTCTGACACAACCCCATAGGCAAAGTGGGGGAGAACAAGGGGTCACAAGACAAGTCAAGCAAAACAAAGCAAAGCAAGCTCAGGGTGGATCACAAAGTCACCACACATTCCGAGCACAAGTTCGAGGCCACAAGGCCAGTTCACATGCAGGAGTACATATATATAAAAAGGCTAGACCAGCAAGAGCAGGTATATATATACCGCATGTAACACTACAAGCAAAGTCAAGAAGTGAGCAAATGAGGCAAGGTAGGCACAAGGCCCAGCTGAGTACAGAAGCGCTGATGGTCACAAGGCGCAAGCGCCTTGGTGAAGATATCAGCAGTGTTGGCCTCATAGGCCACGTACGCAAGATGCAGCTGACCACGCTGCTGCAGCTCACGAGCAAGAAAGTAGCGGAGAGCAATGTGCTTCGTTCTGTGCTCCAGTCGCTGCTCCCGACACAAGGCCAGCATGGCCTTGTTGTCTACGTACAGCACTGGAGGAGAACGAGGCGGCTCTCCGAGGTCAGTCAGCTGGTAGGTGAGCCAGCGAAGCTCCTGTGCAGCCATGGCTCCTGTGTAGATCTCAGCCTCACAACTGGAGCCGAGAACAGAAGACGAGCGAGTAGCCCGCCACAAAACAGAGCCGACGCAGCTACCTGACCAGACGCAGGGACTGGAGGAGACGCAGTGGTCAGTGTGTACAGGCTCGACCCCGGCTAACGTGTAAACGTGGCCAGGTGTCGGCCTGTCCGAGCGTCCGTGCAGTGGGTCACCTGCTGATTCGCAGGAGTGAACTGGTGAACCCCCGCATCCTGTAGGTCAGCATAACACACCAAGTTCGTAGAGAACGAGGGGAGGTAAAGACCAGACAGGGTGCCAGAGGGGGCTGTCAAACATTATATATGTTATGCTTGTGTAGGCTACAGTGGGTTAGCCTATAGGGGGTACACAATTCTAGGGTTTCCTACTTGTACTCATTTCACTGCTAGTTCATTCATTCCTGTTCGCTTATTCTCACATGGTATAGAGCGGGTCCTTCTACGGACCGTTTTTTTGGGCCCACCGAAGCGTCCCCCGAGGCGCGATCTTTTTTTTAGCGACCCCTCGGGTCGCCATTTCCCCTGCGGCCCCGCCGCCTTCACTGACGCGGCCCTGCCGCCCTCTCTGTCGCGGCCCCGCCGCCTGCTCTCACGCGGCCCCGCCCCGGCTCCTTCGCGGCCCCGCCGCCTGCTCTCGCGCGGCCCCGCCCCGGCTTCTACGCGGCCCCGCCCCGGCTTTCAAGCGGCCCCGCCGACGGCTTTGTCGCGGCCCCGCCCAGGCCCTTACGCGGCTCCGCCGCCTGCTCTCACGCGGCCCCGCCCCGGCTCCTTCGCGGCCCCGCCGCCTGCTCTCGCGCGGCCCCGCCCCGGCTTCTACGCGGCCCCGCCCCGGCTTTCACGCGGCCCCGCCGACGGCTCTGTCGCGGCCCCGCCCAGGCCCTTACGCGGCCCCGCCGCCTGCCCCCGTCGCGGCCCGGTCACCTCCTGACGGCCCCGCCGTCCCTTCGTGACGACCCCGCCGTCCCTTCCTGACGGCCCCGCCGTCCCCTCCTGACGGCTCCTGCCGTCCCCTTCTACCGGCCCCGCAACTGCACCTGCTGGCCCCGCCGCTGCACCTACCGGCCCCCCACCACCCACCCCCCCTTTTCCCGTCGCCTGTCGAGGCGACCTGAGAGGCCAGCAGAGGGGTGGCACGTGTGTGGCCTCCCCTGCTTCTCCTCCTCCTTCATCTCCCACTGCAGCAGCCGAGCCGCCCCACAGCCGAGCCGCCCTGCCGCCGAGCCGCCGGGTCGCTGAGCTGCTGAGCTGCAGTTGCTGCCGAGCCGCCCTGCCGCCGAGCCGCCGAGTCACCGAGCTACTGAGCTGCAGTTGCTGCTGAGCCGCCTTGCCGCCGAGCCGCCCGAGTCGCCCGAGCCGCCGAGCCGCCGAGCTGCCGAGCCGCTGAGTCGCCGAACCTACTCTTCCCACCACTGGTGAGCTCTTGCCCTGCTAGCACGCTGCGCGTCGCCTGCTTGCCTGCCTGCCTGCCTCCCTGCTGCTAGTCCTGCTCCTGCTTCTACTTGCGGAGCCAAATGCAGCCCCAGCGACGCCGGCGTGAGTCCCTCACGCCGCAGCAGCTGCGTGAGTGGTACGTTGGTTGGGGCTGTAGGGGTGGCGACGCTACTCCTACTACCACTCCTGCTGCTTCTACTCGTGGTGGCGGCCTGATGCAGCTCCCGCGACCCTCTAGCGTGTCTCTCACGCCTCGCCAGCTTCGTGAGTGGTACGCTCAGAGTGGAGGGTCTCTCAGTGCTGTTCGCTGCTCTTACGTGATTCGCACTGGTACTCGGACTGGTCAGCCTTGTGGGACACGTAGTCATACACCGTCCCGCTGCTTTGCCCGTCTGAGCGACGCCTGGCGTACCGTGTTTGGCGACGAGGCTGAGCTTCCCGACTGGGTGGAGTTGCTTAGGCAGAGGGTAGATATATATGCTCTTGACTATGATGCTATTCTCACTGCCATGTATGCATTGCCTACTAGTGCTGACCGTGCAGGTCACCTGTGCGTCCCGCCTGACCCAGGTATAGGACCTGCTGCTCTAGCTACTGGTGAGGCTGCTGCTCTGGGTGCTAGTGAGTCTCCTGCTCCAGGTACAGGTGCGGCTGCTGCTCTAGGTGCTAGTGAGTCTGCTTCCTCAGGTGCGGGTGAGGCTGCGCTCTCAGGTACCGCGTTGGCTTCGGCCTCCCTCACCTTTACACTTGACTCTGGGGCTTCTCGCTCCTTCTTTCGGGACCGCACCACACTCACGCCGCTTGGTCGGCCGGTTGCAGTCTCCCTGGCTGACCCCTCTGGGGGTCCTGTCCTCGCTCACTTCTCCACTGTCCTCCCGTGTCCGGCTGCCCCCTCGGGCACCCTGTCTGGCTTGTACCTCCCCTCGTTCTCGACGAACTTGGTGAGTGGTGCAGACCTACAGGATGCGGGGGTTCACCAGTTCACTCCTGCGAGTCAGCGGGTGACCCACTGCACGGACGCACGCACAGGCCGGCACCTGGCCACGTTCTCGCGTCGGCCGGGGTCGAGCCTCTACACCCTGACCACTCAGTCTCCTCCTGTCCCCGCGTCCGGTCAGGTAGCAGCGTCGGGTCAGGTGTTTGCTGCTGCGTCCAGGTCTGGTCCTGAGTCTGCCCCCTGTACTTGTCGCCTCCTGTCTCACGAGACTCTCCTGTGGCACCACCGTCTTGGCCACCCCTCCTTGCCCCGTCTTCGGAGCATGGCTTCCCGTGTCCTTGTCTCTGGTCTTCCCCAGTCTCTCCCTCCTCTCCCCTCCGGGCCAGGACCTTCCTGTGTCCCCTGTGTTGAGGGTCGCCTCCGGGCTACTCCTCACTCCTCCCACTTTCCCCCGACAGAGGCTCCCCTGCAGACGCTTCACATGGATGTGTGGGGCCCAGCCCCCGTCCGTGGGCAGG